TATTTTTCCTCATTGAATTTAAAAAAAAACCTAAGTTTATAATAATACTATTAAAAAATGTTGTCCATAAAAGTTAAATGCAACATTAGTTTCTTAAATTTCTATCACAAATATTCCTCAATAAATTATTAATGCAATTAAGTATGTAAGCTAAAAAGAGATTCAAAATTACACATCATTAAGTAATTCTGCTGTGCTTTTTTTTTCATGAATTTACAAGAACTAAATACAATTATATAATTGAACAGCCAAAAATTAAGTTATAAATTTATCATAAACAATAAAATATATATTATGAATATTTAATATTTTATTATATACATCCCTATGATGAATTACATCAGCAATCCATGTAATAAGTTGGACTTTTACCTTCATTAATTTTGATTTAAAGTGTTCAACAAAATTAATTTGAACATATTATTATCAGAAAAAAATAATTTTAATTTCATATATAAATCAAAATTAGCATGGCATTTTATCATCACTAATTTAATTATATTAAAACTTAATGTTACTTATAACAATAATTATTATTTATAATTTGAAATTTTAACATGGTACTTTTGTAAAAAGGCATACATAAAAAAAAAATTGAGAATACTATTTTATTAGAATTGAAATATAAAATATTCAACTATAACTCCTTATCTAATACATAAGGACACTATATTTTCCATACCTTATTCTAATACGCATTCATATGAGACAATTCCAAAATTATAATAATAATAAAAAAATAAAAATTGTTATTTAAATTAATTTGTCTAAAATAATTATAATCTCAGACAAACATAATTTTAATTTCATTTTTATAAATCAAAATTAGCATGGCATTGTCATCACAGATTCATTATGTTTATTAAGTTAAATTTTAATAACTTTTATTAAGAATAGGGACAATTCTATTAAAAATATAAAATTAATTTTAGTCAACACGTAAATAGGTAATATTATAGTATTATAATTAAAAAATAAATGTTTAATTACAAAGCAATAATCAATAAAAAATAATTGTTTGCACAAATATAAAACTATTTAGGTATTTCATAGTTCTTAATTAGTACTTAACTAATAAATTAAATGAACAACTATATTTTCTACTTTCACATAACTAAGGAATGTAAACAGTGGATAGTAAACAAATTATAAATTATAAAGCATCATAAATAATTATAAAATAAATCATTATTATGTGTGATTTTGGCTATTATGCATAATAATCTCAGGAATAAATAATTTTAGTATCATACTTTTATATCAAAATTAGCATGGCATTCATCATCATTGATTTATTGTTAATTTTAAATAACTAAAATGCAACTATTTAATGCAATATTTCCCTAGATGAAATCTTTAAAATAATTTACAATGAAAATTATTTTCTATTTGTAAATCATTTTAAAGTGTTTATATGTAAATTTTTGACTATAAGGTATGATTATTCATCTAACTATTTAAAAAGTATTAAATTAATTGCTTACCATGCATGAATTCAAATAATTTGTTAACAACAGTTTTCAAAAATTTCCAATGAGCTCGTAAAAATCTTGGATACTGTCCAACCACATACATAATGTTTGAAGCAATAATTGCCTTATTGTCTTTGCCTTTTTTTTTGTTCACATAGTCCTAATAAATCTTTAATAGCTGTGACTAAAAATCTTTTTTCATCTTCTTCGTGCATCGCTCCAGAAATACTACCAATTGCCCAACATAGCTAAGTAAAGTGATAATATAAATTTAATAAGCAATTATTAATAAATAATAAATTTAAATAGTTACAGTATTTAAATTTTTCCACGACCACTCATTTCCATTGACTTGATTATGTAATTTTTCAGTCATAATTCGTTCAGTATCTACACAATCCAAATGAGTTAAATATACAAGTGTTTCTCTCATACTTTTGTACAAACTAATAGCATCTGTGTCTTTCATAAACTCTCGAACTACTTCTCCATTTTCATTTTCTACTACTAACACTTCTTCTGGCTTAGCCATACGACTTATCATTATATACCGCATCTATAAACCAATAAAACAAATACATAAGTATATTATAATAAATAACTTATTATATTATACTTATAAAATAAATTTAACTAAAAATTTAATTTAGCTTGAAATAGTTAGTAAATACTATACTTGAGATATAACTGGTGCATAAAATTGACGTCTAGGTGAAATGGTGTTACCATCTGGTCTGCTAGATGGAGAAAGTGAGAAAAGGCCAACTATTTGTAGTTGTCCAAATGGATTTTCTCTGTACAAACTAGCAGCCAAACTATTCCAATATTCTAAACAAATCTTAAATATTTCGATTTCTTCAACTTCCGAAATCATAACCAAATAATGAAGTGCCTAAAACATATAATCATAAGTGAATAAATAAAATGACTATTTTAAATTAATTAAATGCATAACCTACTTTTAATAAATCTTCATTAGAACCATTTTTTTCTACTAAAAGAGCATGCTCTTTGAGAAATGTACACAAAAATAATGCCAAATTTTGAATAAAATTCTGTTCTTGGTCTTGGCCCGACGCATAAGCTTCTTTAATATTTGTGTGTATGGGTAACATCTAAAAATAATAATAGATAAGATCATACAACATAAATATAAATATTAGTATACCTGAACAAGTTGTGCCATAGTTTTGGAGAAAAGACCAGCAAATGCAGCATCATAATTCGGTACAGTTACTGCAGCAACCTCGGTTAAACATTGCAATGTGATATTACGAAACATAGGCACATTGAAGAACTAAATAATAATATGAAGCATTTTAAATAAAAATATAATTTTCTAGGGAATAGTTAATAATATTTAATATAAAAATTACTTTAAAAATCAATGTATCAATCAAATCAGTTTCAAATATATAACCAAGTGGTATCCAATTAAGGAATCTAAGAAGAGTATCTAATGTTGCATTTACTAAAGCCACATTTTGGGAAGATCCCTAATAAAAAATAATATTAAAAACAAACATGTATCTATTTTAGTACCAAATTTAAAGCTTTAAACTGCACTCACTAGAACGAATTGACAAAGTTCAAAAATCTGTGCAAATTCTGAACACATAGTATCTTTCAAGTGTTTAGCTTTCATTTGAGTCATATTTCCAGCAGAAAAATCAAACACTTCTTCACTAAGCAACTTTAATATAACCATGTTATTCTGACATAAACTTTCATTAGTTCTACTAGCTCCTACAATTTCACCAACAAATGATTCCCAATTTTTTGGCCACTCACGTTTCAATACCTAGAAAATTAAATTGTAATTAAATATAAAAACAACAATAATTTAAAAATTAACCAACCTGTACAAGGATAATATTTAATTTGTTTAAATAAGTTTTTTCTCTTTCCATTGTCACAGGATCTGAAGAAGTTTTTATGATAAGTGCAACAATATACTTCTTAATACCTTCACATTGATTTCTAGGTAATACTTTCCATCTTGTCTTAATCAATTGTTCCAATATTTGTAAAGCAAAGTATTTTGTTTGTTGATTATTTGAAAATTCGAGTATAGTATCTACTCTTGTCCATGCATCAGGATGCTCCTTCAAAGTGGTTAATACTTCTTGGGCAGCTCGTTGCTAAAATAATGATAATTTATTATAACTAACTAATAAACTAAACATACATATTTTCATTTAAAATTTTGAAAATGTCCAGTGTGTAAACCAATAAAATTATATTAACACTCTTTGAGTACATGAAAAATATATCAAATTATTTATTCAGTAATTTATAACATATAGGAACTTACCTGATCACCAGTACCCGTATACATACATCCCACAATGTTTTCTAAAAGTGTAATATCCAGTTTTTGGGAAAAATCCAAAAGCTTAGACACTTGTTCTGTCATCGTAGCCATATTTTATTTCTTTTTAAAGACTTAAGTATTCAGCTAAAAAAAAAATAATCCAATTAGTTATTAAATAAAAAATAATTGTATATATTGTATTATGAACCTAGAAAAAACTAAATAAATAAGGTAATTAATATAGAAAAAAGAAATGTTTTAAAAATATATGGGTACATATAATAATCAATGATATTAATCATTCATTTAATAAGCTCAAAGCTCACAGTTAACAATCTACAATCAACTTTTAAAATTCTTCTAGTTAGACTCATGAAAACTCAACCATTAACATATGTTTATAAATCTATCTGCAGAAGCAAACACTAACTATGAATGAATTTTGTGTTACATTTTTAGAAAATATAAAAAATAAACTATAAAACATTATCAATTCATTTAATCAAATCTTCTAAGTCTTAATCATACTACATAATTGTATCATTATATCAAATAGTTGATTGCATAATGTAAAAATTGTTTTGAAAGTATATCTTTTGAACAAAATAAATATTGTTAATAAACAAAATAATAATATTAATAGTATATTTTTAGGATACAGTTTATACAGTATATAAAATTATTTATTTAATTATAGGTATATATTAAAATGAATAGGTTCCTAATATTTATAAAAGCAAGGAATAAATTATTGTTATTTTATTAATATCAGATCAAATTTCAACTTTAACAGGGTGTTTTTTGTATTTTCAAAAATAAATATAAATTATAAAAACTTTTATCAACATTAAATTTTATAACAAAATATTCAAAACAAAAATGCATTTAGTTTATAAATTATTTATTTTTTAAAATTTAAAATTTCTAATTTAATTTTTCTAGTATATATTTCTTTACCATAATAATTAATGAAATTAAGATTTAAAGAATAAACATGACCCGTTCAAAATACAATCACTTTATAATTTTTTCATGTTTAATATTTATGATTGAAATTAAACTTTAAGTAGACAATTAAGAAGCAATAAAAATTGCATTGAAAACAAGTATTATATAGTATAATTGTAAACATAAATTTAAATTTCTATTATCAATAAACTCTGAGGGACAATTTAAACTTAGTACTAGTTACTTACTAAATCATTAAAATATAAGACAAAACATGCATGATTTAATTAAATAAACTTACTCAAAAACAGACAGACGACAAGTATACGCAACAGTAACCCTGGACTAAGACCTAGTCACTGTACCATTCACTCAGAAGACATTCACACACACAAACAAAACAAATTTTGTTTTATAAACCTGAAACAAAAACACAAAAAAAAACATTTAAATTCAGAGTAATGGCGTAATGGAAATCAAATAACCACTAATTTAAATTTAAAATAATGAAGTTATATAAGTGTGTAATGATTCATCTAACATAAAACACTAGTTTTTGGAAAAAATATATTTTCTTTATTATTTTTCTTATTATAATTTTTAAGTTTTTACTTTATTGAATGACAGTATACATTTTTTATTTTATATTCAAAAACAAAATATCATTTGTAATATTTTGATCTATCAAAATAAAATTTTAGACAAGAAACTTATTCATTATAAGTATTGATTAGATGATTGGAGTAGTCAACCAATATTTTCTAGGTACAATGATGCTTCACTCATTTAAACTTTGAATACTTATAACTCATAAACTATTTTTACATAATTTAATTTAAAAATATTTTGCTTTAAAATAAAGAATTGAAAATGCATATTATAATCATTAAAAAAAAATATTTTAAGAAAAATTGTGTGTTGAACAACTTGATGTAACAGAAGTATAATTTAAAGTATAATCAATAATTTTAGTTTTTAAAACAAAGATTGTGTAATGTTAAATGAATCATTCGACATAGGTTAATATAATATATTAAAAACCATAGTAATAATATTGTAACTGTAAAAATAATCAATTACATACATAAAAATTTATCTTATATACTAATAAAGAACACTAATGTTTAATAAGTTATTTTAGACTCAAATAAAATTACTTACTATCATAAAAATAATAACTCAGATATACATACCGATGATATAAAATAAAATACTAACATTGGTACTACCTATTTTAAACTATATCAATCATTAATTTAAACATACGTTTTGTTAAATAATACCTAAATAAATTAAACTTGAATGTATCTATTGTATCAGGTACATTATACTGTATCATAGGATATCATAAACACAAATCTAGTATTATATCAATACTAACATAAAATAAAGAATAAACTAACTTTTTATTTCATCATGTTAAACATATTCAATTAATTCATAAATATTAAATAAAAGAGACCTTACTATGCCATTTCAGCTAATTGGAATATGCATAGTAGTAAAATTAAACTATATTTTTTTTATTATTTTTTGGATTTTATGCATTGTTATAAAAACATTAGCTATTAAATCTATTAAATTAAACAAAACACTAAAGAATTTAGTCTAACAAAAATAGAAAATACTATGAAATTAAATATACTTAATTAAATACCTTCAAAAATATTGATCAAAATATATTTTTGTTTTCATCACCCATATGATACAAAATTATAAAATATTTTAAACATAACCTAATATTTATGATAAATATTGAGTAAGCATAAACAAAACAATAATTATATAATAGAAAATGTAATGAATTGTTTTAAAATACAGATATAACTAAATGAAAAATTTAATAACTATAAATGTATTTAGTCAAGAGGTAAAATCAAAATTATGATAATCATTCACTACCTACGTAACTAATAACAAATTTTTCTTAATTTGAACAAACAAAATCAAATTGATAAAAAAAAATGGAAAATTATAGATAAATACAAACTACAGAATTACATTAATCAATGAGATTTTTAATAAAATCAATTTCAATCTGTGATTATTTCGTATTGTATTTTCAAATGGAATAAGCAAGGCCCCTAATAGCATTAAACACATATACTTACCTAAAGTGTAAATTATTATAATTATACATTATAATAAAGATATTGGAAACCATTAAATTAAACTACACTTTTAGAATGGTGAAATAACAAATTCAGTAAATAGTTGTTTTGCATACATTAAAAATAAAACAAAATAATTATACATAATGACAAAACATTCATTATTCTTATGGAATTGAAAGTATTATAACTTAGGTACCTTATACACTTTAAAATAAACACAGACCTAATTTAAAACCTGATGCATTTACCGATTATACATAACTTTTCAAACAAGCTGTCACATTCTGATACAAACAATTATAGACTAGTCGGAATAACGAAAAATATAATTAAATTTTAAGATTAAAATAATATACTGTAACACAGATTATTAAAAACCGATTATTCGTGAAATATGTGTGTAATCACAACAAACCAACAAGACTATGCTTACAATTAATAACAAGACCTGACAGTTAGACTACATTTTCAATAGGTACAACGTCAATGCACTGCGAAGTGAAAAGCATGAAGAACCGCGAGGTTTTAAGAATTAAAGATTTGTTGTTTATTGTTTACGTTCAAAAAAGAAAAACAATTTTAGTTAGTTTTATCAGGTTCCCGCGTACAATACCCAAACCACACATTATGTGAAAAACAAACAATAGACAGACCAATTTTACGCAGCGCATTAGATTTCGATAGAACGTTTGACGCAAGCAAACAAGAAAAGATGAAATTAAATTTAAATCTAAAACTAGCACAAACAATAAAAAGTAAAAATAATGCACTTACTACATGTATTGGCTCCTTACTGAAAAACTAAAGAAAAATAAAGTACGCAGATGATTCATGTATGATTACGGTTAAGGAATATTTCTATTAAGATGGCGTCGCCGAAACCAAAACACATATGTTCACTGGAAAAAGGTATACACCGCTACCATGGTCGAACCGGATCACGAACACCGTGGAAAAATGGTATTGGGTTTCAGTGATAACGATTGTTTTGTTGTGGGAATATTACACGGATAATATATATGTGTATGTCGTACACTATTATAATATTATTATGCTGTTTGTTCATTTGTACATTTTATCTGTTAATATTAAACATATTGATAATAATTATCGATAAATAAAAATTTCAAATTATGTGAAAAACAAAACAATAGATTTTAAATTTTAATGAATTAAATAGATTAAAATAATTATTACTTGGCGCATTAAATGTTTCTCATTCTTTTTTTTTTTTTAATAAGCGTGAAGTTCAAATGTTTACAAAATCACTGACATTTGTAAATTATTATTCTGCAATTAAATAGGTATATAAAATATTTTTATTATAAATCTGGCTAAATCAGGCTTGACAATTTAGTATGAGGTTCCTCATCAAACAAAAAAATAATCTCAATAATTTGAGCGTAAAAATTTAGATTCAACCAAGGATATAAAATATAACTAATACCTAGGTATCCCTTTTACGATGTAGGTAATCTGAAATATATTTTATATTAAAATGGCTCACAACAGTCACAGCTCACAAGAAATCATATTCATATTCATAATTACATGTTATACATAGTTACCTAATATCTAGGACATAGCTACTTGATAAAAGAACAAAGTAGCATAGTACACATAGCAATATATTGTATTAGGTACATTTGTGATTAATGATTTTATTAGATATTTTGATAGGTATTTATCATTTTATAAATACACACTTGTTATTATTTATTAAGCTTATAACTGTAAATATAAATTATTTTTACACTAACAGTAAACAAGCAATATATTATGCATAATTTTTGCTAATATTATAAATTAAATAATAATGTTTTAACTAAGTATTAATGGCTTAGAATTAATACCTAGCAAATAATTTTATTTTTTTGTATGATAATATACTTTTTATATTATCACGTATCAACTTAATTTAACTGTAATTTGGGAGGAATTTTTATTTTTTGATTATTATTTTTTTGTTTAATATTTGACTTTTTTTGTATTTTTGTTTCATACTTATAATTTTATTGTAAATAAACTACAAAAACGTAACGCTACGAAAATTGAGAATGTTAGACATCAATGTAATATTATTATGCGAGTTATTTCCGTTTTAAAATGTTTTAAATTACATTACGTTTTACATACCTATGTAAAAACACACAAAATATGCTTATCGAACAAAAAATAACATAGATATCGTTTGTTAAAATAATGAAAAAAAAACCATTACCACGTATGGAACATTCATGCTAACGGGATAGTCGAAACTAATACCTAATAACTATAGATTTAATTTTCACCAAACTTCGTCCAGCAAAAGAGCATGCCGACATTCAATGAAAATCGATTTTCTGTATATCGGCAGTCTATGCTCTGCCATGAGGCTAGGATCACACTATGCGTTTTGTCGGCAACTGAAAAATACTATCCCGATTAACCGCAATCGGGACGATCGATCATACTGTGCGTTTTATCGGTAACCGAATACATACAAATGAGATTAAAAAGCCCGAAAATCGTTTTTTAATTTAAATTTAAATTTTAAACTGATTTTTTATTTAAACGAAATGTATCTAGTATTATAAGTAAAAAAATAATAAAAAGGTTGTGTAATTAGAATTATTTGTTTTTATTTAAAACGTGTATCAACTAATTATACTAATAAATAATAATATACATCTATAATATAAATAAAATATAATATATATATATATATATATGTATATTACAAATATATTTTAAGTTTTTTAATTATTTAAATTTAAAAATCATTATTAATTATTCATAAAATTTTCAATTTCGGTTACCGATAATCCGCACAAATGTGATCGGACAAATTGCATTGCATGTGTTGTGCTTTACATCCCGAAACGCAACCGGACGGTTGGGCCGCAACACGTTGCGGTCGCTTCCCGACGGTTTTTAATCGGTTCCGTAAATCGGTCTAGTCTGGCCCTGATAACGCGTTTTATATTTAAACCTATTTTATTTTAGAGTGTTGCGGTTTGGCTCCGGTTGATCGGGAACCGACAAAACGCATAGTGTGATCCTAGCCTGATAGAACCGGGTTAAAATTTTCGATGGACTGCCTTCTGGGAATGAGCAAAATCGGCGTACTCTTTCCCTGGATTACAGAAATGCAAAGTATTTTAGGAAATATTAAGTGTCGACCAAAGTCTGGCAAAAAATACTAAAATTGTCCTCCATTCGAAAAAATATTTTTTTTGTCTAATTTGAGACGTTTGAATTTCAAGAATGTCAAGCCCAATAACATATTACATAATAGGTATTACTAGCTCATAAAAATGCAACTTTTATTTTTAATAATTACTTTTTTATATTTTAGATTCTAAACAGAGCCATAAATATATTAGTTTAAAATTTTAAATGATATGGATTTATTTTTTTCCGTGTAGAAGATAGTTTGATAGAAAATTTGTCTTCTTCACCTTTTCAAAAATACAATAAAATTACCGATTTGTATTTAAATCGGTTATTGTGTATTTTGTATTTTTTTTTATCTTTAAAATAAATTTTAGTTATCAGCCGAGTGTTTGGCATACATAAATGATTAATACAGGTACATACTAGTTATAAATAATAAATTTAATCATTATATTTGAATAATTAATTATAAATTTATTTATTTTATTTATTCTATTATAAATATATTTTTATTTTTTCTCATTTATTTTTGTAGGTTTTGTATTAATTAAATTTATTTAATTAACGGCCGTTTGAATAACATTAGGTAAAATGTAAAAAATAATTAACAAAGCATCTATAAATAATAAATTCTTGTAAATAAATTTAATTAAATTAAAAATAATTATAAATCTATTTACAAAGCTAACACCACATATACGATACGGTCCAGAAGATACAGTTATACATTATTTCAAAATAATCATATCGATATCATAGACCAATTTATTATATTTCGTTCAAAGAGAAAAACTCATAATCATAATTTATAATGTGCCCAATTTTCAATTGAAAATTTTTTGTAATCATAAAATTGAAATTTAATTATTTAATTCCTTTAACAAATAAAAAAATACAAAAAATTATTTGAATACAAATATTTCGAATACTTTACACAATGCTACCATGAGTCTAACATCCTCTTGAAACATTTTTCAAAAAATAAATGGATATTTTATACAACAAGCAGTTTAAAACAAGTGTATGCAAACACTTTAAGTTTATACCTTACGTGTCTCACCCATCACCAACTTCAATTAAATCTCCTAGACGCGCATGCATACCATATGACAACACTTTTTTTTTTTCATGTAAGTGCAATTGAATTCAAATTTAGCATATCTACCTAAAACTATAGTGATCTACTGAATGATAAAGTAGGTACACTCGACAATCAATACTTATTATACATAAGAAATAAAAGCTGACTTCTTATTTTTTTTTTTGTCCTTCATCGCCTGTAAGTATACTTGATAAGGGAAAAAATAAACACAATTTTGACATTCAGCCAAGCCTTGATGCATAACG